AAGATTGGGGAAGGGCAAAGAAGGCCGCAGACGGAGTACAGTCTAGGGGGTCAGAGACTTACAAACCTCACTCAAGGAAAAAATTTTGGGGGTGAGTATAACACCAGGCACATCTCCGAAGCGCACATCAACCAAATAACTGCTGCAGCATATGGGCGCCTAGCAAACCTCAGAACAGCATTCCGATCTGGACAGGCTGCAGACCTGGTCCAGCAATTGGCTCCTGGAGTTCAATCCCACCAAGTGCAAAGTCATGAAGATTGGGGAAGGGCAAAGAAGGCCGCAGAGGGAGTACAGTCTGGGGGGTCAGAGACTACAAACCTCACTCAAGGAAAAAGATCTTGGGGTGAGTATAACACCAGGCACATCTCCTGAAGCGCACATCAACCAAATAACTGCTGCAGCATATGGGCGCCTAGCAAACCTCAGAACAGCATTCTGACATCTTAATAAGGAATCATTCAGGACCCTGTACACCGTGTACATTAGGTCCATATTGGAGTATGCGGCACCATTTGGAACCCACACCTACCAAGCACGTGAAGAAACTAGAGAAAGTGCAAAGGTTTGCAACAAGACTAGTCCCAGACTAAGGGGTATGCCCCTACCGGGAGAGGTTAAGGGAAATCAACCTGACGACACTGGAGGACAGGAGAGATAGGGGGGACATGATAACGACTACAAAATACTGAGAGGAATTGACAAGGTGGACAAAGACAGGATGTTCCAGAGTTTGGGATACAGTAACAAGGGACACAGTTGGAAGCTGAAGACACAGATGAATCACAGGGTGTTAGGAAGTATTTCTTCAGTCACAGAGTAGTCAGTAAGGGGAGTAGTTTGGGAAGCGATGTAGGGGAGGCAGGATCCATACATAGCTTTAAGCAGAGGTATGATAAAGCTCACGGCTCAGGGAGAGTGACCTAGTAGCGATCAGTGAAGAGGCGGGGCCAGGAGCTCGGACTCGATCCCCGCAACCTCAAATAGGTGAGTACAACTAGGTGAGTAAAACACACACACACATGTACACACACACAAAACACATGTACACACACACACACACACACACACACACAAAACACACACACATACACACAACATGTACACACACACACACACATACACACACATACACACACACACACACACACACACACACACACATACACACACATACACATACACACACACACACACACACACACACACACACCCACACACATACACACACATACACATACCACACACACCACACACACACACACACACACACACACACACACACACACACACACACACACACACCACACACACATCACACACATACACATACACACACACACACACACACACACACACACACACACATACACACACATACACATACACATACCACACACACACACACACACACACACACACACACACACACACACACACACACACACACACATATTCCTGAAGCACTCTGGGGTCTGGAAATTCTCAAGAGTACTTTTGAGCACCCAAAAATGATATTTTTTAATAATTTGAAATTTAGGAATAGACTTTTATTCATTATGTCCGTGATGATGAAAAAAGATGCTGCAATAGTTGAGTAGATGAAGATGAGTATGTTGGAGTAGTGAACCACAGAAGGTAGAGCACACAACAACAGTGCAAGTGTTCACTGCAAGTGTTCACTGCAAGTGTTCACTGCAAGTGTTCACTGTCAGTGTCAGGAAACACTTGATCTCATGCTCAGGAACTTATCAAAAACATTTGCAAATTTGTCTCAAAATACAGTAAAGTAAATAGTCACTACTGAAGAAAATAGACACCAAAAGAAAGTGAAATGTAGTAACCATTATGACATTGTTATTACATTCATGGAGAGGGGGGCACTAAACCCACAGGAGTTATGCAGAACCTGAAGAAAAATGAAGCATCCAGGTTTAATCTAAGGAAGGGGATTGTTGGACCTCTTCCTTGGATTGTGAACCTGAATGCCTCCCAGTCCCCTAGGTGATGTACGACCCCCTAAGGGTTTAGTGCTCTCCCTCATGAATGTAACAATATCAAAGTGATCAATACATTTCACTCACTTTTGCTGTCTATTACCTCAGTTGTGTTGCTCATTTGCTTGACAGCAATATGACTGGTTACAGCGCTGTCTAACTGACCCTGAAGTTTAATGGCAGTCTTATGTTATCGCTCTTCATTAATTCATATCTGAAAGTTTTATAAGATAATTTAATATTACACTACAACAATACACAAATAACCTGCACATAGGAGATTGAAATTTAAGGTGACATTCCAGTCAAAGTTAGACCATTAACTAGTCACACAGAAGCATGAAGGGAAGGGGTCCAGAATATATACGAGAATCTGTATTGATAAAGCCACTGGATGGCGAAACATCTACAATAAAGATACCCAGATGTTGCGCATGTGTCTGATTTTCATCACGAGAGGGGGCGGGGACAGGAGTACTGTAATGAGAAAGAATACTGTTAATACATTGGTGGTGGTGGTGGTGGTGGTAGTAGTAGTAGTAGTAGTAGTAGTAGTAGTAGTAGTAGTAATAGTAGTAGTAGTAGTAGTAGTAGTAGTAATAGTAGTAGTGTAGAGTAGTTAGTAGTGTTGTAGTATAAGTAGTAGTAAGTAGTAGATGTAGTATTTAGTAGTAGATGTTAAGGAGTAGTAGTGTTATTAAACTAGTAGTAGTAGTAGTAGTAGTAAAAGTAGTAGTAGTACTAGTTAGTATGTAGGTAGTAGTAGTAGGTATAATTAGTAAGTAGTAGATGTAGTAGTAGTAGTGTCTGAAGTAGTATGGTTGTAGTGGAGTAGTTAAGTAGTATTAAGTAATAGTGGTTGAAAGTAGTAGGGGTTTGAAGTAGTAGTTAAGTAATATGGTTGAAGTAGTGTTAAGTAATAGTGGTTGAAGTAGTAGTTAAGTAATAGTGGTTGAAGTAATGTGGTTGAAATAGTAATTAAGTAATAGTGGTTGAAGTAGTAGTGTGTAGTAGTAGTTAGTAGTGGTTGAAGTAGTAGTTAGGTAATAGTGGTTGAAGTAGTAGTTAGTAGTAGTAGTGGTTGAAGTAGTAGTGGTTTGAAGTAGTAGTGAGTGTTGGAAGTAGTAAGAAGTAATAGTGGTTGAAGTGGTTGTATTTAAAGTAGTAGTGGTATGTAGTAGTAGTTAAGTAATAGTGTTGAAGAAAGTAATGGTTGTAGTAAAGTAGTGGTTGAAGTAGTAAAGTGGGTTTAGTAGTAAAGTAATAGTGGTTGAAGTAGTAGTTAAGTAATAGTGGTTGAAGTAGTAGTAATAATAGTGGTTAGTAGTAGTAGTATTAAGTAATAGTGGTTGAAGTAGTAAGTTGGGATAGTAGTTATATGGTTGTAGGTAAGTATAAGAAATAGTGGTTGAAGTAGTAGTGGTTGTAGTAGTATTGGTTAAGTAGTAGTGGTTTGATAGTAGTGGTTGAAGTAATGTAGGGGTGAAGTGTTTAAGTATAGTGGTTAAGTAGTTAAGTAATAGTGGTTGTAGTAGTGTGTGTAGTAGTAAAGTAGTAGGGGTGTAGGTAGTTTTGTAAAAAGAATAGTGGTTGAAGTATAGTAGTAGTGGTTGTAGTAGTAAAGTAATAGTGGTTGATAGTAGTAGTGGTTGAAGAAAAGTGTGGTTGTAGTAGTAGTGGTTAGTAGTAGTGGTTGAAGTAGTAGTTAAGTATAGGGGTTGTAGTAGTGGTTATGTTGAAAGTAGTGGTTGTAGTAGTAGCAGTTGTAGTAGTAGTGGTTGTAGTAGTAGTGGTTGAAGTAGTAGTGGTTGTAGTAGTAGTTAGTAGTAGGTTGAAGTGTAGTGGTTGTAGTAGTAGTGGTTGTATAGTAGTTGTAGTAGTAGTGGTTGAAGAAGTAGTGGTTGTAGTAGTAGTGGTTGTAGTAGTAGTGGTTGATAGTGGGTAGTAGGGGTGTAGTAGTGGTTGAGAGAGTGGTTGTGTAGTAGTGTTGTATAGTAGGTTGAAGTATGTTGTAGTAGTAGTGGCTGTAGTAGTAGTGGTTGAAGTAGTGGTTGTAGTAGTAGTGGCTGTAGTAGTAGTGGTTGAAGTAGTAGTGGTTGTAGTAGTAGTGGCTGTAGTAGTAGTGGTTAAAGTAGTAGTGGTTGTAGTAGTAGTGGTTGTAGTAGTAGTGGTTGAAGTAGTAGTGGTTGTAGTAGTAGTGGTTGAAGTAGTGGTGGTTGTAGTAGTAGTGGCTGTAGTAGTAGTGGTTAAAGTAGTAGTGGTTGTAGTAGTAGTGGTTGAAGTCAACTTTCTTATATTTTTTTATCTTTCCTGTCTTCTGCCTAAATGGGTTCTATCTTATGGGGTTTTGTGCCGGTGATATTTGGTCTTACCCTCATGAGCCATTAGCTCTCCTGCAGTGCTCCTCTCTTTGCTTGTTCTTAGACCACCTCCACTTTACTTCTACTATTACTACGATCTCTTTGTTCTGTCTCCACTTTCTGACTTAATATTACTACTGACCTAATATTACTACTACTACTATCACTAGTATTACACCTCATTCTAAATATCACATCAGTTGCACTTGTGTCTTTTTACCTAACATATTGTCGGTAATTCTACCAACATTAATACCACCTTCTTATTGCCACCTCTATCACTGTTGCACTACTTTTTCTACTACTACTAACACTATCACCACACTACTATCACTTAAATTACTATTCCCTCTCAGTACACTACTCTCATCCTCACCCCCTCTTTTATATATCCTGGCTCCCTTCCCTTCACACTTTTATGTGACTATTTAATGGTCTACGTCTGACTGAAATGTCAACGTAAATTTTGGTCTCCACTGTGTAGGTTTTTTTTGTGTGTTGTTCCAGTCACATTATTGTGACTTATTCTTCGCATTAAAACACCCTGATAATAGTAAACAATAAGTGCATTCCTTCAGTTAAATAATGTGTCTCAGTTAATGTAATAATACATGAACAAAATAACCAAAATAATTGTACCGACCTTATTGAGTTCAGCCTCAGTAGAAAATCCTAATCCATAAACTGTATTGGCTCTCATGTCTGACCACTGACCAAACTTCTGTGATGTCTTTGTGAACATCATGTTGGGGGTTATTGTGCTGTTGATCACTGCCTGTGGGAGAAACACAACTGTAAGCCCGGTCTCTTCATTTCATATTGCCTAGGAAAGAAAGCCTTCTCAATGAACACTACAGATTTTTCATCATAGACTGACAGATCAACAGAACGAGCAACAAGTGTAGTAGTAGTGAGTACAGGAGGGGCCCCACTTATACAGCAGTTTAGGTTAGGTCTGGGCTACTGCTGTAAAGCAACAATTGCTGTAAAGTGAATCATAGCCTTTTTTCACTTTCAAATACAGTGGTACCTTGAGTTATGAACTTAATTCGTTCCAAAAGGCTGTTCAAGTGCCAATACCGAACGAATTTTTTCCCATAAGGAATAATGAAAATTAGATTAGTCCGTTGCAGACCCCCCAAAAATACACTTACAAAAGCACTTATAAAAATACACTTACCTAACTGTTCGAGTTGGGAGTTGTTCGAAACTCGAGGTACCACTGTATATTTACTGAAGGAATTCCAAATAAATGAAGAATAGGTATAATTGAAAACCATTGTATTAGTGAAATGCTGTAAAGTGAAGCACTATAAAGCAGGGCCCACCTATATTTCACCAACTTAATGATGGACGAAACACTGAGGATGGGACACCACAAGTATGATTCTCCTTCTGTAGCTAGATGGTAATCACACATAGGTAAACACATGATAAACTTCTTAATTTACAATATACCATCCCTCACACTAAAGTTTTTCAATAAACCAGTCTGCTATATACATTCAGTGGTCACTTTATTAGGTACACCTGTACACTTACTGGTTAATGCAAATGTCTAATCTGCCAATCATGTGGCAGCACCTCAATGCCTAAAAGCATGAAGAGACAGTTTAGAGGTTCTGCTATTGTTCAGATCAAACATCAGAATGGAGAAGAAATGTGATCTAAGTGACTTTGATCATGGAATAATTGTTGGTGACAGACAGACGGGTGGTCTGAGCATCTCAGAAACTGCTAATCTACGTTCTCTGAGCCATTCATCTACATAACTGCTAATTTCCTGGGGATTTTTACACACAACATTCTCTAGAGTTTACAGAGAATGGTGTGAAAAAAAAACATTCTGTGAGTTACATTTGTGTGTGAAAAACACCTTGATAACGAGAGAGATCAGAGGAGAATGGTAGGACTAGTTCAAGCTGACAGGAAGGTGACAGTAACTCAAATAACCATGCATTACAACAGTGGTATGCAGAAAAGCATCTCTGAAATCACATGTCAAACCTTTAAGTGGATGGGCTACAACAGCAGAAGACTACACTGGGTTCCACTCTTGTCAGCTAAGAATAGGAAACTAAGGCTACAGTAGGCAAAGGCTCAGCAAAACTGGGCAGTTGAAGATTGGAACACCATAGCCTGATCTGATGAATCATGAGTTCTTCTACAACATGAAGATTGTAGGGTCAGACTGTCATAAACCTTTGAGATGTGATGGAACTGGAGACTCACAGCATGAATATGCAGTCAATATATCTGTAGCAACTCCCTGATACTATCATGCCAACATGGATCAGGATCTCTAAGGAATGTTTCCAGCACTTTGTTGAATTCATGTCATGAAAAATTCAGGCTGTTCTGGGGGCAAAGGGGAGTGGGCACTACCCAGTACTAGGTGTATCTAATTAAGTGGCCAATGAGTGTGTTTCACGATGCCTATTCATTTTTTATTCTCTCGAGTATGAAAAGAAATACTGGTTAGAGAGATGGAAAACACTGAGATAAAATTGAATGTATCATATACAGTCCAGGAGAGAGAGAACAAAAAAAAAAAAAATTAACTAATTTAAATAATCAAAAATGCTTTTCTCATAGGCAAAATCCAATGCAAAAAATAACATCCAGTATTGGACCTGTGCTTAAAGGGTATGGAACTTGCACTGTTCAGTGAGCTGTTAGCCAAACTAAAGATTGAAAATCCAAATGAATTCTTCATGAATGAAATCCAAAATTTTGGCAACATCTCCCAAATTTCTGACTTAACCCTAACACCATTTGACTTCATAAAAGCCATTGATGGTATGCCTATGCACTCTATCCCAGGCTCATAAAATTCCAGGTTCATCATAAATTTATATATAAAAAAAACTATCCCATGCCTTAAATAGTTTATGGAGACTGAGCCTAAAACAGAAATCATTCCAAATTCAATAACTACAAACATACCCAGCTCCCAGCTGATGTCCAACATTATTAAAATCTTTGAGAGAGTTTTAAGAAGCAAGATTGCTAAACACACAGAATCACAACAGTCACAGTATGTGTCAGCCCTTAATAGTGTCAGCATCTACCTTTGGTTCCCTCAACAATGTTGGTACATACCTTTGTGTCTCAAGAGTGTCAACACATGCTTTGGTGTCCTCAAGAGTGTCAGCACATATATACCTTAGTGCCCTCAACAGTGTCAGCACATAAATTAGTGCCCTCAATAGTGTCAGTACATGCCAGTCCTCAACAGTGCCAGCACATACATACCTTGGTACCTTCAACAGAGATGATACGGTAAAGCTGCCTGGTAGAGTCGTAGAAGAAAGAGACGGACACCGCAGACGAAGACGCTGGGATCCACGACCTCTTGGTTTTCGGGTCGATGTGGAAGACGTGCGCCTTGCACGAGAATATGGGCTGCTCCCTGCAACATGCAACACATGCAATAATCAGTAATGATACCACACAGACTACAACAATCACCTGACTAATTAAAATACAAACTCTGGCTTCATCTTGGCAGTGACTGCTACAACAATCATAAAACTGGTGATTACTGCAACAGTCACACAACCTGTGAATATTGTAGTACAACAATGTTATGGGGCTATAGGACCCAACATGTATTTATAAGTAACAGTTACTCTGGAATACCTAATTATATTGAATTGATGGGGACTTAGCTCTAAATGTCATAAGGGCAGATCACCCTCATGACTGAGAGGCAACTGGGTCAAGCCTATTTTTCTCAATATACAGTGGACCCCCGGTTAACGATTTTAATCCGTGCAAGAGGGCTCATCGTTATGCGAAATAATCGTTATGCGAATTAATTTTCCCCATAAGAAATAATGGAAATAAAATTAATCCGTGCAAGACGCCCAAAAGTATGAAAAAAAATTTTTTTTACCACATGAAATGTTAATTTTAATACACACAAACTGAAAAAGGCATGCACAATTACATGACACTTATTTTAATTGAAGATCTGGTGATGATTGATGGGATGGGGAGGGGAGAGCATTATCTTCTTACTGTTTAGAAGGGGAATCCCCTTCCATTAGGACTTGAGGTAGCAAGTCCTTTTCTGGGTTACTTCCCTTCTTCTTTTAATGCCACTAGGACCAGCTTCAGAGTCACTGGACCTCTGTCGCACAACAAATCTGTCCATAGAGCTCTGTACCTCCCGTTTCTTCAAGACTTTCCTAAATGGGCCATAACATTGTCATTGAAATAGTCACCAGCACGGCTTGCAACAGCTGTGTCAGGGTGATTTTCATCTATAAAGGTTTGCAGTTCACACAACCACTCTGCACACATTTGGTCCTTAATCTTGAAGTGGGCACAATTGGATTTCCCACAACTGCATAGGCTTCCAGGGTTAGCCCCAACTTCAAAATACTTTCTTAATTTCCATAATAAATCTCACCCTTTTTACCATCAGGGTTGGCTCTAGAAGCTTTCTGGGGCCCAATGGTCACTTATTTTCCAGAAACACCACCGAAAACACTGTAATTAATACGAATATTCCGAGTGTATAGCTTGGATGTTACCGCGGAGGCTGGCTGCGTAAACAAATGGGTCGGCACGGCACATGTGAGGGCAAATTGGACGCGTCTCGGCGAAATATCGGTATTCGGGGCAAAAATTTTGCGAATAAGAAGTAATCGTTATGCCGGAGGAAAAATCGCTTTGCGATGGCCAATCGTTATGCGGGGGGTCCACTGTAATAGTTATACTACAGACACACAAACACTCAATTTAAATAAGTAAGTTTATAAAGTTGTAATTCTTTTGTAAAAGTTAAAATTAAGATTGTGGTTAGAATTGTGGTAACTGGAGAATTGTGCTTGGCAACAATCTTTTGTTTTTGGTGGTGTGTGGGAGGAGCTTTGCTAGGATCCTCCCTCTCCCTTCCCTCTCTCTCTCTCTCTCATCTTGTTTGTTGACTTCAAACCTGGCAGGATTCTCTGGGTCCTTCTTCTATTTTTGGGGGCATTATGTGTGCCTCCAGGGGGAATTTTTTATAATTAAAGTGTGTGGCCACCACACCCAGGTGGTGAACTAAAGTTGTGTCAAACATGTTTAGCCCAGAGATTAGTCATGAAGGAAGAGAAGGGCAAAGTTGTGAGATGCTCTTGTGAGAGAGCAGCCAAGGAGTGTGTAGAATTATTGTTTTGAATATGTGAGGCTCGTAATTGTATATTCCCATATACATATCTATTTTAGTATACAGTTATATTTTATAGTTGTAAGTTTATAAAACCCATGTGACGAGGGCTGGTGAAAGGATATAGAGGACACCTCAGTATGATCAGCCATGATGTACGTACTACCCTAGACATATAGGACTTTATGTAAAGCTACCCCACACTAGAACATGTAGTGTGAAACCTTAATGTCAAAGTAATAAGGGACTACCAAACATAACAATGGGAGCTTGACGGAGAGTTATTTGACTGCTATAAATAGTAACTCAAAACTCTTCTTTTGAAACTTTATGATGTCTGGTTATGGTGGGTAATAAACTGTTGCATGTTCCTGGTAGAGAAAGATTTCAAGGTATGTGTAGTGGAAGTGTTGATTTTCATATACAGTGGACCCCGCCATAACAATGGACTTACCTCCGATTTGCGACCAATTATGTAAGAGTATTTATGTTAAGTGCGTTCTGTACGTGTACTGTTTGGGGTCTGAACCCCCATGGGACTAATCTACTTTCACTTATATATTTCTTATGGGAACAAATTCGGTCAGTACTGGCACCTGAACATACTTCTGGAGTAAAAAAAATATCATTAACCGGGGGTCCCACCTGTATTAGTTTACTGGTTGTTTTTCGTCTAGGTGGAGAAAGTTGAGTAAACATTTTTGTTGTGGTTATGGTAAGTGTATGTGATAGTTTACATTCAAATTTAAGTGCTTTTTTGTGCCTGTGGGAATAACTTTGTACACTGATACTGAAGAGGGAAGTAAGTGTTTTAAAGATTAAAGCTATGTCAGATAGATGGTCTTTAAACTCTTTAGCTTCAGGGAAGAAGGTAATAATTCATCAGGTTAAACATGCTGGTAACAAGTGAATATGAGGGATCACTACTCTCCGGTGATATGGGAAATGGAGAGCAATGGAGACTTAAATCTAGCAGTGCCTAGAGGTGAAAATGAAATTTAATGAAAGCTAAGGAGGAAGAACGTCAAAGGTTAGGAGGTTCAGAACCAGAGCCTGGAGCAGTATTTAACATAACTAAAGCTGAAATTGGGTCCAAGTTGACAGAGTGACCAGATAGATATTTTTTTCTTTGTTTTTTGATGAGGGACTGCTCTGCGCAGCAAGGATGGCCCTCACAACAGAAGAGAATGTGGGCTACCTAGGTCGCACCACAACTTGTGGGTAAAGGATTTCCAGAGGAGTAGAAAGAGGATCTGGAGGGGAAAAATTTTTCTGATTATGATAAGATTAAAGAGGAAGTTATTGGCTTGCTACACCAAATGATACCTGAGGAAATATAGACAAAGTTCAGAAATCAAAAATTTCAGGCTTTGTGGCAGGACCTTAACTGAGTTTGGAATTGAGAAACTGTTCCTTTTTAAGAAATGGGTTTGTTTTTTATAAGGATGTTAAATAAAAACTATGACAAAATTAGTAAATCTGATGTTTCATGAGGAATTGTACAATACAATCCCTGTTGACCTCAGAGGAATATTTGGAGGACAAAAACCAGATATTCTTTCAGAAGCACTGGATCTAGGTGACCGATTCTTGGCTCGAGGGGAATTGTATGTTAAAAGAACAGTCATTGCTACCTTCTAAAACATTTCCCCATTCTGTCGTTTCTAAACATATTCCATGTCCTATGGTCAATAAAGTAAGTGGACAAGAATTTCAGGGACAAACGAAGGCTGATGGCACCTCTAAAATAGAAGAAAAGTGTAAGTCAGCTGGAGCTCAAAAGTTTACCTAGACAATAGATAATGTTTCAGGTCCTTGGACGTAAACAGTACAGTCCCTACTCCAAATGTTAAAAATAACTTTAAGAGTTTTATTGTTACATACTGTAACAAAAATGGACACACAAACGTTTTGCTGGTCAGACGGTGAGATCAGGAAAGGGGGAAAACCATCCCAGGGGACACTCTAACGCAGAGATTACATCCTGTTGCCTGCATTAGGTCTTCAACGCAAGGGGAGGAGGAACTTTGGATCTAGACCCTGCGATGTCTATATTTTCCTAGTAGGATCCCACCGTTGGTATTGACAAAGGGATGTAGACATGAGTTGAGAACATATTGCTTCCTTGAGAGATGGACTTGTAGCATCCTAACGCTTTGTACATGCTGGAGTGCATGCCAGTGTCTAAAGGATACTATACTGGAGGTAGATATATTGTTGAAGGGTATTACGGGTTCATCCATAAGGACACCTGTACACAAATTTGGGTTAGAATCTGCATACTAAGTTGGAGATCTCACTGTTGGCAATCTCAGTTGAAATTACATTTCGTTGGGTTGACTCTTATTTTTATGGGAATAATGTTATGGGGCCCCTGTTAGGGACAGTGGGAACAACTAGTATTGGCAGGATAACCAAGTACCAAATGTGGGAGAAAAGCTAAGGGAAAACCCTGCCATACCTTCTCCCTGATGGTGTCCACCTTGAGAAAGTATGGCTAATGATCATGCTATCAACAGTCTTCATGCTATTTCTATGTGGATGGTGAGGGCTTTAGTCTGGGAAACTTCTGGTTTTCTGTGTTGAAATGCAGTAACCTGAAGAAAAATTTGTTCCAGCCAAGAGCTGAGCTTGACTGGGAGAATGGATTCAGTTTTAATTAGTGTGAGAGAGGCTGATTGTAGGGTTATGCAATTAGAATTTCTGTGCAGTGAAATGTACACTCTAAAGCTGAATTATAGCCTCAGCTGTTGTGAGGAAGAGATTTTACAATTAAATATGTGTTTTTCATTTCAGGGAGGGAAAACTCTTACAAAGAATTTCACTCTGCTAGTATCGAGGGCAAGGAGACAAGGGTTTTGTCCTAGAGGGTGATCGTCCAAGGTTTCCAGGCATTTCTTCTGGTCTCAGCTGTGGGAGAACTTGTCAGAGAGTATATTGAGACCTATCATGTCTTTCAATTTATGGAAAACTAGTCAAAGTATTAAACCTGTTCCCCTTCAGTCTATTTTCAGAACCAGGTGAACCCTTTCAGGCAAGTGGTAGGTAGATGTACTTGGTCCATTCCCAAGTCCAAACTGGGAAATGATTATTTACTCACAATTTATTTGCTCAATTACAGATCCTGGACGCAGTCCTCTACATAAGTATTCTAATGCTCATGTAGTCCTAAGGGTTTTTGATGAAGTTCTTTTTTCATGTTGGTTTTCCGTAAGAGGTGCAAAAAGACCAAGGGCCTAACTTTACCTCTCAAG